TCTCACTATCGATCTCGCTCAACGGGACACCACGCACCACGGGGCACCGCGGGACACCGCGAGCCACCGCCGGACGGACGAACGGACGGGCGGGCGGGGGAGAATCATTTGGCTTGACCTCGCCCTAGCAGCGACGGACACCACGGGACACCACGGGACACCGCGGGACACCGCGAGCCACCGCTGGACGGGCGGAAGGGGGATAATCATTTGGCTTGACTTCGCCCTAGCAGCGACGGACACCACGGGACACCACGGGACACCGCGGGACACCGCGAACCACCGCCAGACGGGCGGGCGGGGGAGAATCATTTGTCTCGACTTCGCCCTAGCAGCGACGGACACCACGGGACACCGCGGGACACCGCGAGCCACCGCTGGACGGGCGGGCGGGGGATAATCATTTGGTAAATATGCTCCTCTCCGCCTCATCTTCTAGTTGCCTCTCCTGCCGCCTGCCTTGCTTGACACTGATACATTAACAGCTGTTTGGTATCAAGCCTGAAAAGGAGCGCGCTGCCGCGCGTCCGCGCACGGGCGTCGGCCGGCCGGCCTCCTCCCTTCCCGTGCTTCATACCATTTGCTATACGGATTATCCATTGTCTTAGCCATGGCTCATCCCAACCCCTCTCTCGCTGAGCATGTAGCCCACGATATCAGTGTTGGAGATCAAGAGACCATAGTTCCTTTGGCATCTTACCCCGATTCTCAGAGGAAAGACTGGTTATCAGCCGAACCCCGCGACCAAGTCGCTAGGGGGTTGAGCCATGTTGAGACAGCCGAATGGCCCGCGAGTCTACATCATGAACTTCATGGCGGGCAAGATCATCAGGACGGCGGCCCTGGGGAGGGCCGCACTCTTCCCTCTTCTAACCTCACTCGGGTTCTTCGGGGAGGAGTTATCGGAGGAGTTATAGATTTGTCTGCCGACGATTCTCCCACTCGTGCTCCGATCAGCGAGCGTGATCAGACCCCGACCCCGATGAGGCGGAACGGCCCAGCCGTGAACGCCAGGCGAGGAGCCTTCTCGTCTTGGATTGCTGAGTCCCCAGAAACGGTGCATTCCAGCCCGGTAGCCGTGCGCCCTATCTCGCCGACCGCTGGCCCAGCCAGCTGGCCGCAAGTCGTGGACGAGCCGAGCGGCATGGTCCCCGCCGTCCCAGACGGTTGGGGTCGACCGCCCGAGACTCAACCCGTTCCGATCGCCTTGAACGGGCAGCCCGGTCAAGACAGCGACGAACAGCTCGACGTCGGAGACGAGGTCAACTCTATGGAAGATAACATGGAGTATGCCGCGTATGAGATGTCCCCAAGCCGAGTTTTGCCGTTGTTGAACGTTACCGACTGCCCCGCCCAAGGCGGAGGCCCTCCCCAGGACAGGAGACCGTTGATTACGATGATTTGAAAGCTCTTGGGGAGGCGTTTGCGGAGCCAGATCTAGACCCCACGACCAGCGAACTAGTCCGCGAGGTCCCAGCAGTGCCCGAGCCATGGGGGGCACCAATACCGACCCCCGTTCTCCCAATCGCTGAGAATCCGCCTCAGGCGGCAGAGGTCGAGTTCCCATCATCATGCCAAGCGTGGCCGGGAGTCCACGGGCCGAACACCAGCTCCTCAGCCTGAGAGGCACAGGAACGAAGATTACGATTTGAATGCTTCCCCGCTTCAGGAGGGATTCTATCGGTCTGCCGTCGCCCCAGGCGATCGGCAGCCGTCGGTCCCCGCGGTAGCTGGGGGGTGGCGACCCGTCTGATCCCCCAGTCGCCCTCCCGGAACTGATTGCACAGGATGAACGGGATGAGGCGCTCCGCGAGGTGGCCGAGCCACCGGAGAGCGCGCGCGTGCGCCCTCGATCATCGGATTCGAGCCGGGGGCGGCCCAAGATCCCACGATCTGGCGCCCGATCGACTTCGAGGAGCACCAGTGCCATTTCCATGCGCGAGGCGTGCTTGAATCAGGGCCCTGGCTGCCCGCCCCAGGCGGAAAACAGGTGCCCGGGGAAAGCCCGCAAAACGGGGTGGCTTTGCAGGCGCCCAGCGCGTGGGGATTGTTCCAGCGTGCGCCCCAAGCGCGGCAATCAGTGGTTGTGTGAGGACTGCATCCAGATGGAAGAACATAACTGCCAGTACCTTTTGACCCAGGCCATGCAGGAACAAGCCGGGGCCCAAGAGGCCCAGAAACAGCAAGAGGCTATGGCCGTAGAGGCCCAGAGGGCCGAACAGACTTGGCTGGATCGAGAAAAGACGAAAACAGTTATTGCCGACGCCCAGAAGAAGTTCGAGGCCGATAGGCTCGCCATGGCCCAAGCTGCCAGTCGGCGAGAGCAAGAGCTGCTAGCCCAAATGCCCCCTCAGGCCGTGGCTGCCCAGCAGCGCGCGGAAGAAGCCGAGAACAAATATGTGGGGGTATTTTGTTCTGAGCGACGTGCTGCCCTGGCGGAACACTGCCAAGCTGTAGGCGCCAAGTCCGCCCACGCCGCTGTCGCGGGGGCGAGGCTAAAAAGGGGGGGGGGCCGCGAAAGCCAAAGCAGGGCAGGAAAGAAAGGAGCTCCAAGACCAACTCTGCGCTGCCAGGCTGGAAGCGGCCAACGCAGAGGCCAAAGCGGCAGAGGCTCTCCGAGCGAAAGATTTGCAGACAAGGGAGCAAATCGAAAGCCACTCGAAGCGCATTTCAGAAGCTTGGGACCAAGCTCAGGCGCGTGCTCACGAGGCCAAAAGGCAGGGCGAGCTACGCGCTCTGGCTGCTGAGCACGCCGCTGCGAAAATGGCTGACCAGAACAACCAATATCAAGGCGAGCTCAAGAAGCATGAACACGCTAGGGCATCGCTTCGCTAAATACACTCAGGTGACGGAGCGCGCCCACCGGCCACGCCGGCAGGGACGAGCAGACGACCCTCGCCGGCGGCCCAGCCGTCTGGTACTACGTCGTCGCAGGCCCGGCCTAGCTCGGCACCTCCAGCAGGCGGGGCGCCGCCACTGCCGCGGGCGAGGGCTGCTCAGCAGCCTCAGACCGTGAGAGGGGGCCCCACAGAAAGTTGTTCATTATGTTCTAAACCGAAGGCTGGCTCATGCGCCACTTGCGGAGCACCCAGTTGCAAAGACCACTTTGATATGAGCACGAAGCGTTGCGTCGCGTGCGCCCAGCAGAAGAGCTTGCCAGTAGAACAGGCAGCGTGGGATGAGCAATGGAAGCGAGATAGCGCTAACCCCGACCTCTTGGCCCATCAGCAAAAGTTCCTTGATGGCATTTACGCTGACAAATGCAACGTGCAAAGATTGAAGGAGCAAGCCGTGGAACAGCTTCGATTGAGCTCAGAAAAGCCAGCTGCCAACATTCGTGAAAAAGAAGAAGCGTTGGCTCGCGCAGCTGCATCAGAGAAAGAGGTGATGGAGCTCAAAGCTGCCATCACCGAAGCCTCGAGAGAGAAAGACCAACATATGCGGTCTCGATCGCAGGCAGCTGACCGAGAGGCGGCCTTGGAAAAAGGGCAAAAGAGATGACGAAGACCATGGGCATGGAATCTTTCCAGTTTATCTAGAAAGCTTTGGATAACATGCCCAAGTTTCATCAGTTCGATATGCCCCAGCTTCGCAGGAAACGCCCGCCAGGCCAGCTTTGCAACCTCATTTTGTTGCCCCTGGCCCTGCCACCGAAGGTCCGGCCGAGCCTGGCATCTCGGGGAATAATGGAGATGCACGGCGCCACTGACGACATGACCCTTATGAACTACCATCCCTTCACCCAGGCGGGACCAGCGAGGCCACCAGCGGCCCAGCCGCCGGGTGGGGGCAACGGTAGCGCGCCAGCGGCCACGCCGTCTGGCGGTGCAGGGCAGAGCAATGATGAGGACGATCAAAGTACCGCTCCAAATGCCGACTTCCTGTACGCAGTAGCCCATGCCGCCCAAGACCAGTCGGGGAAGCCGCCTCAAGGGGGTCCGGGGGGCCCTGGATTCCCAGGCGGTGGAGGCGGTCCTGGCGGACACCGGGGCCCAGGCGGGCCCAATGGCCCAGGCGGTCCCGACGAGAGTACCCCACTGGACCAATGGAGACAGGTTGGCAACAATCAAAAGGTTGACCTGATGGACATTCCCGATGTTACAAATATGCGGGAGTGGCAGATGCATACCATCCGTGCTGTGGCTGGATCGCCCCCTGAGATCCAGGAGGCACAGCTTTGGATTATGGAAGCCATGGGCCCCGCCGTGCCCAAAGAAGAACTTCGAAACCCGGGCCGCTTCCGGCGTCTTGACATCATGATTGTCACTACCTTGATTGAGAAGTTTACGAAGATGCGCAGACATCCCAACCTTTCCTTTCATCACAATCACTTCCTCCACCAGATTCAGCGTATGGAGTTCGCTGCCCAGAATGAAAAGAGTCTTCTGACAGGGCGCGAAATTGCACGGGCCATATGCTATTGGTGCTCAGTTAGATCGGAGCTGGGCCAGCATCGTATTTCGCGTGATATCTTCAAGGTCGTTATTGATCCCAATCGCCATGACGCTGATCTGTACCATTTATATAACGAATGGACAGACGTGTATCAGCAGCTTTACGGCGTGCGACCTCCGTCCGACGAGATGCGAGCTTCGACCCATGCCCACTTCCTTGAGCAATGCAGGAAGCCGAAGAAGTTGAGCATGATTTGCCAGTTTTATGATATGTCTTCAGACAAGCCAGGGACGGGCATGCGTACTTACGACTGGCTCATAGCTCAGATTGACATGATGATGTTGCGTGAGAAAGAAGAATGGAACATCGATCTGCATGAGGGTACTTTGAACCAACGTGCTCGTCAGCAGCGCTTGGGCGGCGGTGGCGGCAACGGCAATGAGAATCGCCGAGGCCTCACCGGCAAAGCCGCTGCGGCCGAGGTGACAGCGCGTCTCGGGAAATCCACCGACGTCATGAAGAGTGGAGCGACAGGGGCGCGGCCGCCGCAGGCGGCCGGGAGGCCAAACCTGCCGCGGGTGCCGATGCGGCGGGCCCCGTTGGAGACGATGCCAAGTTTCTCGAGACGATGCCGTTCGGCATCGAACTCACGACCGAGCAGCAGGCCAAGCTGCCCCAGCCCTCCCCGTCCGCCGAGCCGGCCAAGCCAGCGCCCACGTCCCAGCTGCAGCGCGCGCTCTGGCGGCAGGGAGGCCGGCGCAAGACTTTCGAGCGGGCTGAGGCTGTGCGGACAGCAGCGGCCGAGCAGGCCCAGGAGGCTCAGTGGCGGCTGCAGGAGGCCAGCCTGGAGTTGGAAGGCAACGCCGGGCTGCAGTCGCTGCGCGAGGCGGAGGAGAACCGCGCGCGAACGCTTCATGGGCGCCGAGGTGGTCACCTCCGGAGGCGCAACTGAGGCCGATGCTGGGGTGGCTGGCGGCGATGGGCCAGAGGCTAGAGACGACGCTGCGTCCGCGGAGGCGGTCGACGAGGAGTTCGCCAGCTACGTCGCTACGTCCTCGATCGGCATGTCCCACGCAGAGCGGGAGGCCTTCTCCAGCCAGCTCGTCGCCCAGGACATGCCTGTCCTGGGCTGGCTGCGACACAGCCTGGTGGCAGGGGGGGCCCTCCAGGCAGCCGCAGGGCGCGCGGCGTCGGCTGCGTGCAAGGGCAAGGGTAGGGATCATGGCTCGACCAATGGCTTCTCTCCTATGTGAGTCCTCGGTCGAGGCCTAGGCCAGCGGGAAGCCGCAAGTGTTCCGGCTGGCGGATCACCTGCCCTGCCCGGACCCCGCAGCCGAAGTCGCAAGAGCAGCCGCAGAGATCGCTGGGGCTGCTGCCGCGGTCGACGGCGCGCCGCTGGGAGTCGCCGACGGGGGCTCCGAGGCCGCGCCAGGGCCCGCCGGGGCCGCTTGCGCCTGTGACCGCATGCACGCGCATGCCTGGACGCCCACCGGCACGGGCTCGTCGAGGCGCGGGCGACGGCATCCATCGGGCTTCTGCTCGATCGTGACAGTGAACGTCACGGGCTGGGGTTCCCTGTTGCGCGAGCTTGAGCGCGGGGCCATGGGCTCTGACGTGGTGGCCGTTCAGGAGCACCACATCGACGAGACAAACATCGTCCTGGCGCGGCGTGCTGCGTGGCGACGCAGCTGGAAGTCGGACTTCGCGCCCGCGCGGCGCACGGCGGCGGGTGGCACCACCGAGTGCGCCGCCATTCCCACCAGGCCTTGGATCGGGCTGCGCCGCGCGTGCCTCAGGGAGTGGGCCCCCGTTCCCTTCGCGGAGCGTATGGCCATTTATCTTCGCACGGGTGGCGGCTTGGGCGAGCAGAATCTCGCGCGCCTGTCCGAGGTGTGGGCGGCCGCACGCTGCGCGGGAAAGCCGTTCGTCCTGGCAGGCGATTGGCAGTTCGAGTCCAGCTGCTTCAACCAGACACAGCGGTTCACTGCGGTGCGCGGCACGGTCGTTGCCGCCGGGCCACTGCGCGGCCAACATGCCTCGAGGCCTCGGGCGGCAGCGAACTGGATTACTTCATCGCGTCCCCCATCATCGCCGCCGTGTGTGTCACCGTCGTCGACGAGATTACGGTCAGGCCGCATCGGGCGGTCCGCATGGCCTTCGAGTCCCCTTCGGCCAGCGAGCTCGTCTCGATCTTGCGCAAGGCCAAGCCGTTCCCCTCCCAGGCGCTCGCCGGGCCCAGCCTCGAACCTGGATTTGGATGCGGCGGCGGCTCAGGCCGAGTCGGCGGCGACCGGGGCCGACGTCGACGAGTCATGCCGGGCTTGGTTGCACAAGTGCGAGGCTGAATTCCTTCGGCATATCGGCTTCCAGGACTCGCAGGTGCAGTGTGCAGGTCGGGCGGGTGGGCCCCGCGTGGCCCGTGTGCCTGCGTCGCAGGCTCGTCGCGCGTGGCACCACTTTGGGAGGCCTGCGGCGAGCGCCAGCTATTGGGGCCGCGTGCTCGAGTGGCGCCACTTCCGCGGGCTGGCCAAGCCAGCGGCGCGCCGGCACGCTCGGGCCGTATAAACGTGGCCATGCAGCGGTTTACCTTGCCCATGCGAGCGCCCGGCTTCTGGGCCACGTGGAGCTCGCGCGCGCGGCACCTGAAGGGCATGGCGGACGCCGAGGTGATGGAATTGGTGGCGCAGCTCGGGGTCGAGGCCGATCGCGGCGATTCCGCTTCCGCCTACGCGCGATTCAAGGACCGGCTGGACTGGACTAGGTTCGCCACCGACGCCCAGGGCTCCAGGCAGGCGTTCCGCTGGATCAAGGACGAGGCGCCGCGGGCTGCGTCGGCCCCGTCGGGCTGAGGGCTGGCAGAGGAGGCCCGTGCCGAGATCGAGCCTTGGCACGAGCTGTGGTCCGCGGAATCGGGGGATGCCGCCGATGCCAGCATGTGGGGCGACCTGGATGACAGGTGCGCTCGTAGCGTTGGTCGAGGACATTGTCGCGGCCGCCAGAACTTTCCCCCGCGGCGCAGGCCTGGGGGCCGACTCGGCGCACCCGCGGCGTCTGGCCATGCTGCAGCCGTCCGCTGCGTCGGCGATCACCCACGTCTGGGGCCTCACGGCGCGGCCAGGGCGCGCGCTAGCGCCGCTGATGTCGCTGCAGGAGGTGCTTCTGCCGAAGCCTAGCGGAGGGAAGCGCGCGATCGGGGTTGTCTCCAGGGTCGCTCAGGCCTTTTACCCGCTGGGGCCGCCGCGCCATCGGGGCTGGTGGGCATCGGCCCAGGCGCGGACTTACGCGTGCGGCGTGGAGCACAAGCGCTGCGGCATGGCCGTTCGGATCGCCAGGGCCTCAGCCGAGCGGGGCCGTGGCCCGCGGCCAGCGCGCCTGCGCGGTGCTGCTGGACATCAGCAAGCCGTGCGAGATGCACATCTGGGCCCTGGTCGCGCACGCTCGGCCCCTGCAGCTTCCCTTGCGGATGCTGCGCGTTTTGGCCCAGCTATACGCGATGCCGCAGTACCTGAGCTACAATGGGTTTGTCCTGGGCGAGTGCGTGCCGCATTGCGGGGCCGTGGCGGGTTGCAGTTGGGCGGACTTGGCCATGCGGCTGCACCGTGTTCCGCTCATCGACAGGGTCCTCGAGAAGGTGAAGAACGTCGAGATCGTCAATGTGGTGGACGACACCCATCTCCAGCGCATGGGCTCCATGGTATCGCTCGCGCGCCAGCTCGCGCAGGCGTGCCACTACATGCGCGACGAGCTGCGGGGGCACGGGCTGGTGGTCGGGCTCGTGGGTCAGCATGCCAAGACGCGCGTCGTTGGCGACCCCGCGAAGGTGTCAACCATGTTGGTAAGACGGTGCCCGTCGCTGCAGGGACGCGTGCAGCACGCCGCCAGTGACCTGGGAGTCGACTACGCACGCGGGAAGCGGGCCCGCTGCCCTGCGCGCCAGATGCGGCAGGACAAGGCGCGGCGCAGGGGGGCAATGATACGAGTGCTCCGGAAGGCGACAGGGCGGCGCTGCTCCCTCGTATCACTGGGCTCGGTGCCGGTGGGCACGTACGGCGACGGGGTCGCGGGCCGCGCTTGGTGGCGCATCGCGGCGCTGCGGCGCGCAGCCCGCCTTGCGCTCTACCCCAGGGTGCACGGCCGCTCGGCGACGATGGACTTGGACATTCAGGCATCGCCCCACACGGTGGACTCCGCATATGCGTCCACCGTCGGGCCCGTGGTCAATCTCGCCGCGCGGAGGGCTCCTGGAGGGAGATGTCTTCGGCGACGGCTCGATTTCATCGATCGTGCAAGGGGGCCCCGGGGTTGGCAGGGCGGGTTGGGGAGTGGTGCAGATCGAACCTCTAGACGCAGTTCTCTGTTCGATGTGCGGCCCAGTGCCAGGCCGGATGCAGGATTCAGAGATCGCCTAAGGATGGGCTCTGCTAGCCTGTCTCCGGCACCGCGGCCCTGGTGACATCGCGTTTTTCTCTGACTGCGCGTGGGTCGTGACGTCCTTCGCCAATTGCAGGACAGAGACCACTCACTTGGGCTGCGTGGCGGCCGGTTTGTGGACGATGGTCTGGGGCGCCCTTGACGACTTCGAGTTTGGGGTCAGGTTCGTAAAGTCAGAGTGCATGCCAGAGTCTCCGACGATTTCCAGTTCGACGATGCCCGATGTTTCCGACTCGGCAATCGGTTGGCCGACACCGTGGCCAAAGCAGGTGCTACTCTCCACCCCCGAAGTCTCGAGGCCGAGCGGAGGGTCATCGGCGCGCGCCAATTTGCACAGGCCGTTGGCAAGTATATTGGGCGATTCCTCCACGCCTGGCTCTTTCCTCAGCAGGAGAGCAATCGCGCCCTGGAGGAGGCGGGGGGGCTCGACGGCCGCCGCGGCCGTGTAAAGCTGCGCGGGCGGTGCCGGCGCACGCGGTGCATGCGCGGCGGCCTTGTTCCATCCAGCCTTCCTTCCTCGTGCGAGGGCGCGGGTAGACGGCGCAGACTGCCGACCGTGCACCGTTATGTGCTCTGCAGCGCTTGTGGCAGCCATTCTCGTGAGAACGAAGTTTCCTCTGCGAAGTCTTGCTCTGGGGGCGCCGTGCGAGGCTCGGCCGCGGCATTCCGTTTCAACCGTTGATGGGGGTCGCGAGGGCCCTGGACTGGCCAGTCGCTCGCGGGCGATCGGCCGGCGCCGCCAGGCGCGCTCGAATTTGAGTTTCGCTTCGGGTGCGCCTTGGCTTCTTCCGGCGAGGGTCGGGGGGGCGACAGCGGCGCCCCCGAAATGTCCAGCTCGGCGGTCGGCTCCAGCCGTCTCCACTGCCTCCTCGCCCCCTCGCCCCCTTCCCTCCAGACAGGCCCTCCGCGCCTGCCCCGGCCCCCCTCCCGACGCACCTCTCGGCGAGGGGATTATTTCATCCAGTGCGTAGGAGACCTCAAGGTAGCGGCCGCGCAAGCCGAGCTCAGCGCAGCAGGCGTTGCTCGCCAGGCAAAAAATGCTCGCCCCCCCCCCAAAGGGCGTCATCAGTTGTTGCTTGGTACCCCACGAGAGCGCACGTTGCTCAAAAAAGGGGGCCTTGATGCGAGTCCCCTAGGCCGCGAAGACTTGGGGAAATGGAACTTCACCCCGTGGTTTTCTTCGGCTCACCGTAGCCGAACTCGTTGAACTATTCGATCGCGCGCAATCCGAAACAAAAAAGATCATGCGTGCCGCCTTCGGGTGGCGATCCTGACTCCGACGTCTTCGATGCCGCATCTAGCGCCAGTGGGGCGAGGCAGCGCCCTGGACAAATTTTGACGCGGGCTGCCCGCCGCCATCCAACCCCGTCCAGGGAGGCGAGGCCGAAGGAGGCGCGGTCATATTGCTTCGCGTGGCTTTCTCTCTGCCCCCCCCCAGCCGACTCGACGCCTCCCGCGCGGCAGTCTTGGGGCTCAGCTTGAGAACCCTGGCCCATTGTTTCCACATTGCCGTTTCAGCCTTCGCTGGGGAGGTGAGTGAAGGGCCCGTCGACGTGGTCGCTGACGGCGACGGCGCCACCGATGCCGTCGCGGAAAGCGAACTCCAGCCTGAATTCGCCGAGGCCGACGTGGAAGCCCCCGCTGACGCTGCCGTCGACGGCGTAGCACCGTTGCATCTTCCGCGATCTCGCGGGGAATTCTGCCTGTCAACGTCGCCACCAGGTAGGACGCCTCTACGCGATCTAGCGTCGCCCGCGCTGGCGAGGCTCGCCCCGCCAGCTTGAACAGACACCGCGCTCGACCCCCCAGCGCGTTTGGGTGGCCAGCGTGAGCCCTCTCGCCGCGGACGGCCGGCGCCGTCTGCCCAGGGATTCTGGGGCCCTCGCCCCTGCGTGACCAGCGCGCGCCCTCTCCGCTGGAGAATATCGGTGCCGTCTGTGCTGCCCAGGGGGGCCCCTGGAAATAGTGGGAACCATCCCGGCACCCACTGCCCCCTTGTTGCAAACGTTGCCACCAGAGGGATGATCATGGGCCTGACGCGCCCCGCCAACAGCGCGAGGATGCCGACGGAAGAGCTTTGGTTCACCCAGCTCCCGACATTCAGGCCTGGGCGCTGGCGCGGCGAAGCCCAATCTGGGCCAATCGCAGTCCTGAACGTTGAACTCCCAGAACTGGTTCGTTGCCGACGTCCCCCAGAGTTCTGCGAAAGACGACGCTGCTTCTGGGGCGCATGGTCAGCCAGCAGCTTGGCCAACTAATTCGTGTTGCCTCCTACCTCCACGATGCGCTTGATGCCCTGCTGAGGCCGTCGTCATCAGAGTCGTCCTCGCCCATTATGGCGGAGCCTCGCTCCAGGCTTGGCGCCGCGCCCCCCGCTAACTCGGGCCCCCAGCTGCAGCGCTTGCAGGCTGACCAGCACGAGCGCCAGGATCACCACTTCGAGACCCATCAGCTCTTGCCGCCGCAGCCCTTGCCGCCGCCTTCTGAAATTAGGCCAGGGCCTCGAGCGCTCTCGGGCGCCTGCTTCCCCTCCTAGGACGGCGCGCCCCTTCGAAGTTGACCTTGCGCAGCATCTTTGCGTTGTGCTCAAGGTTGACCTTCGCCTCAGCCAGTAGCTGTAGCTGCTTGATCTCGACGATCGACTTGGTGATATCCTCCGGCTGCTTTTTCGCAGGCGCTGATCGGATCCTTCTTGACAGTCTGACCGTGGCCATTTCGGGTCAAGTGCGTAGCGGTTGTGCTCAGGACCTGATCTCACTGGCAAGGGGGAGCAGCGGCCCCCGCAGTGCCCCTCCCGCCGTGTCAGACGAGGCTTTTATTTGCTGCGGGTTCTCGTTGGAGCATATTTCTTTTCTTCTCGCCGTGCGCTGACGGCCATCTCGTCAGCAGGATCACCGAGCCGCGGCGTTCCCGAATGGCTGGGCCCGTGCTGGGGTGGACAACCACAGATGTGGCAGCGCCCGACGCGCTCGTCTCCAGGCGGAGGGTTTGTCGCTCAGAACCCGTTCGCTCGTGTCCCGCTTCCGCCAGGTCAGCAGTTCGGAGGCTTCGGACACGGCGACAACGCTGGCGGCGGCCCCCAGTCTTTCCCTCGGCGCGGCAAGTGGGCACGCTCGCAGCGCCCATGCAGGAAGAACACGGCCAGCGACTCGGCGCGCTGCTACTGCGGAGCCCCACGTGCAGACCCAGCGACCAACGCCCGCCCCCCGCGGGGGGGCTGGTTCAACAATCCCCGAGCTCATCATGGTGGCGTCGGCGGTCAGCGCCCTGCTCCGCCTGGTTTTCAGTCCCGAGGTCGGAGCGCGCAGATGGTCACCAAAGACGTCGCTGAGTCCGAGATGGAGACCCTCATCAGCATGCTCACCCGTGCAAGCATCGCCATGCCACTTCCGCCGAGAGCTACGGGAAGGCCATGAAA